CCTTAGCCTACTCTAACTAGCCCAAAGCCAAATCTTTGCTACTAGAAGCAGCTCATAAAAATCTTTGCTGCGACTTGGTCCTGGTCAGTTGACTGACACTTCAGCCGTGTAGTTCCATCTTACGGTGGACTTCTACAGACCAGTCAGGAAGTTTTTCTTTCTTCCTACTTATTCTTGACTAAAGTGACTTAATAAAAGTCATGTACATCTAACCCTTTTATAGTTCTTTACTGCCTGTTATTTTATCTTTCATGGTTTACTTTCTTTCAAATACCAACCTGTGAACTTTTCTTTTCCTCCCTTAACAAAAATGTAGTAGATTGAACATACAGGGATTTTGACTAAGTTGATTTGTTATGGCAGTTCCTATGGAAAGATCAAAACTATAAAGGTTTACATTCTTGTTTGCAGTTCAGTTTTAAAAAAAACAAAGATTAGGGGCACCTGGGTGGCTCAGTCGTTAAGCGTCTGCCTTCGGCTCAGGTCATGATCCCAGGGTCCTGGGATCGAGCCCCGCATCGGGCTCCCTGCTCAGCGGGAAACCTGCTTCTCCTCTCCCACTCTCCCTGCTTGTGTTCCCTCTCTCACTCTGTCTCTCTGTCAAATAAATAAATAAATAATCTTTAAAAAATAAAAAAAGATTATAAAAATATATAGTGTACATATTACTTGTGTCTTTTAGATGCTGGCAAGAAATTCGGCCAAAATATTCACAGTATTTCAGAGATAAGATATTTTTTCCAACTTTATATCTGTCTAAATTTTGTAAGTGTTCCTCAATGGGCATATCTTACTTTTATGATTAGAAAAAAATACACGTGTGGCACCTGGCTGGCTCCGTTGGTAGAATGTGTGACTCTTGATCTCTGGGTCATGACTCCAAGCCCAACGTTGGGTGTGAAGCCTACTGTAAAAGTTAAAAATGAAAAGAGAAAGGTTATAAATGTTTTTCTTATAAAACCCTGCATTTTGGAAAATATTTAAGGAAGCTAACCATTTCCATCCTTTTATACTAAATTTCTACTCTCCAAGCTCCCCCTCCCCATTTTGGGGAATTTTTCTAAGTCTTAAGGTGAATGATAGTCTGTGTATATGTAGGAATTGTGACTGGCAGGACTAGGAGAAGAAAGAATAATCTAGATACAGAAATAGTATTGTGGGGGCACCTGGATGGCTCAGTCGTTAAGCGTCTGCCTTCGGCTTAGGTCATGGTCCCAGGGTCCTGGGATCGAGCCCCGCATCGGGCTCCCTGCTCAGCGGGAAGCCTGCTTCTCCCTCTCCCACTCCCCCTGCTTGTGTTCCCTCTCTCGCTGTGTCTCTCTCTGTCAAATAAATAAATAAAATCTTTAAAAAAAAATAAAAGTGTCTGCCTTCAGCTCAGGTCATGATCCCAGGGTCTGGGGATTGAGCCCCACATCAGGCTCCCTGCTCAGCGGGGAGCCTGCTTCTCCCTCTCCCACTCCCCCCTGCTGTGTTCCCTCTCTCACTGTGTCTCTCTCTGTCAGATAAATAAATCTTTTTTTAAATAAAAAAAAAGAAATAGCATTATGCTAGTGATAGGAGGCATGTGTGTCATTCTTGCACTTATTATACACTATTTCTGACATCTCTTAGAGTCAGGAGTTCAGATTAGTAACCAGGGCTTAACTACTTGGACTTTCTTTAGCCCTTATACTCCTGCAAAGAAGAGGCAGTGTACGTTCTAGATCATGTTTTACACACCATAGCTCTTCAGGATGCATTCTGCCTCTGTCTCTTAGCTGCTATTGATTCTTCTTCTATGATCTACCATTTTACATAATAGTTTTTCTCAGTATTCTAATTACGTCAGGCTTCAGGGAAGACTGTGCAAAATTACATGGGTTTAATAAAATTCAGTCAGCTTATGAATCTTCTCTATTAGCCCCCTTTCTCCAAGCCCAGCACTTACCTCCTGAGTTGCACAGGGTTAGTTGTTAGCTTTTAATTTGCAAGATTAAAAGCTGGACTCCAATAGAGGTCATATAAAAAGTAAATGAAAAACAAGGGACTCCTCTACTTACAGGAATGACTTGTCAGGCCTTTACCAGATGTCATTAAAATGTATTGCATTGTGCTTTCTTTTTTAAAACAGAGTCGTTACCAGTTACAATGATAGGGCACAATTTTCTGGAGTCTGTGTTCCATTCCAGGGGGGAGAGTTGAAAATGGGAACATTTCTAACTTGATACAGTCTTGGCATAAATTCTAAAACCTCTGTCAGAGAAAAGACAAAAGAATCTTCTAAAACCCAATCATTAAACTTCTCTGTGTCCCCAGTATTTTTCTGAATTTATATATTAGTCAATTCCTAACAAGAGCACTCAAGGAAAACATAATTTTTCTGCCAATAATGTAAAAATTTGCAGAAGTCTTGAAATCATAGTATTGCTTTTTTGTTTACGTTTCCTTATTTTGTATTTTAAAGTAGTAGAAATTAAATGTGCCTATAGGAGTTGAGTTTTTATGAGGGGTAGGGGAAGCTGCTTTAGGTATCTCTAAATTCAGATAATTATGAATCTCATACAGAGATTGTCCCTTGTCCTGTGGTGCTTTCATTCAAGACAAGGGGGAACGAATCCGTGTCTTTGTCTTGGGGTGTCCGTATTACATCTTTCATATAAAGCTGCTGTTATTTCTTTAGTCAGCAGATTTAAGTGCCCACTTTGTGTAAGGAACTCTGCTTGGCATGGTGTATGATGCCGTAAAGAATATTTTCAATAGAACAATAACCCAGTCAGATCAGTTATTTGTAAAGGCCATTCATCAGTATTGTATATGATGCCTTAAAGTAAGAATCAGAGACAGTTAAGAGACCATCTTATAGTAACATCAGTGCGGTAATATGGGCCTAATCTAAGGTATAGGCATTGGGAATGGACTAGAAAGGAAAGAACAAATCTGAGACAGTGTCTTAAATGTAATTCTCTTATTCTAGCTAATTCAGGATTAAGTGTCCTGTAAATCAGAGTTGATGTCTCTGTCTTCCTTCCCACTCTTCCCTCCTCCCCACTATAGCACACCCAAAGTTTAGTGCACCTCTCCTTCAGTAATGGTAGGAGAGGGGATGTATATCCGAATCTCTTCAGACACTAGGTATGTATGTATCTGTGTTCAGCTTTTCAAAATTTTGTATATCTCCTAAAGAAGTGTGTGTTTTCTCTTACTTCATTTTGTGAATTACTGCTTTAAATCAGAACTTTAAATAGCCCCTTAAACAGAGTAACAATTTCTGCTGCATAAGTAGCTCTTTTTTAAAAAGCATGTTATGTTGTCCATGGAAGAAATTTTGTTTTTGTTTTTATGGTTTTCGGTTGTGGGTACAGTTGATATATTCTTGAAAAATAAAGTTTATCCACATTTTTGGTTTTTGTTGTTTAGAGGAAACCACTCCTGAGTGTATATTTGATACCAAAGAATCCTCCAGAAAGTGGTCTTCCCCTTTTCTATGAATGGAATTTAGAGCTAAATTTATGCATATATGAAATAAAATTTAAAATAAAATGTACGTGTTTCCTAAGCTCTAACTCTTAAAAAGAGTTCTGCTGTGGAATCAGAATTAATCACTTTTTGGAGAGATGCACATAAAACAGACTGGTTATATAAAATCAGAAGATCCATAAAAAATGAAAAGAGACCACTACATACATACATACATACATACACACACATGAATATACATATTCAATAGAAGACTGTGAAGCAGTAGAAAATTTAAACCCATGCATGGTTACCACAATTTTAATTCCATACTTTGGGAAAATAGTTTACTTTGAGTAGGTCACCAAAGAAGAATAACAGCGGTCAAATGTTTTCTTGTTCATTAGGGTCTGTGAGGGGAAGGATTTAAAAAAAAAAAAATTGAGGTGTGTGTAACAAAGGAAATTTACAAGAGTATTTTTTATGATGTTGCAGTAATTTTGAGAAGAATGTTAAATGTTTCCTTTTCCTTGTTCCCCAGAACAGTGTAAGTGTTCATATTCTGCTATTCTTCTGAAAAAGAGTAGGCTGTCCAGAGAGATTGGTTCGTTTTGCTTAATGAGTGATCTTATATTTCTGTAGGGAAATAGTACAGGGTACCTTCAGCTTTGTGTTTATTCACTTTTGATAATGTCTCTATTTGTTAAGTGGCCTTTCTTTGACTCTTCTCCCTACCCATCTGCCTGTCATACCTTCTATCTGTTGACTCATGCGTTAACTTCTGTAGGATCCTTTTAAAATATTCTATTTGCTATCTGATGTTTAGTCTTTAAATTGTACATCCAAATGTTGAATGATCTTGTGGAATTTGCAAGCCAAATGAATAAAAATCCTTTGTAGGCTTAATTTTCCATCTAGAACTTCTGATACAATATAATCAGTATAAATTAGGTTATCTTTCTTTTCTCCCCAGCAGTATGAACGACTAGACTGATAATATTGATCTGAAATGAGAACTGAATGTTGTAGAAGTGCTGCCTAGCTAATGAAATCTTAGAGTGTTCTTTTATTGTCTAGAAAGCTTTAAAAAACAGAAGCTGAAATTTGATATTTTTTGTAGCTTAAAGGAACCTTAGATATCACCTAATCTCACTCCCCTCTTTATAGTTAAATATGCAGGTACCTGAGAAGTGTGACTTGCTTTAGATCACATAATTAATTAATAATAGAAGCAGACCCAAGTCTAGAATTGGCTGGTGGGCCAATTTCTTGTATAGATACCATATACTGAATTTTGTGTCCTAACCATGAAATAGGAGGAACCTAGGACACTGGTTGGAAGGCTGTATGTGCTGATGTAAACAGTCTGTGCCTAAGACATGTGCCAGTGCAATCTCTGGGCCACAACCACACAGTTGTTCACTTGATCATTCAGCTGTTTCTTCCATATGGGTGAAGCCCTCTTGTGTTCTGCTAAATTTGAATACAGGTATCATTTTAGACTCGGTATTTGCAAACATGACTTTGCAGTGGGAAGTAATGGCCCTGATCTTGTATTTCAGCTCAGACAGCTGTAACTGCACCAAAGATGTGGAAGAAACCAAAAGACCGGACCCGAACCACTGAAGAGGTGTTAGAGGCAGAAGTGGAGGTAAGGGGCAAAGTAAATCTCTTTAGCTTATCTTCAGAGTAGTGGTGCCATTTCCTAAGACAAGTGTGGGTTTATATCTCTTTTTTGAGATACTGTTTTTCAAACAAAACGTGATATATCAAGCTCAGTCTGATTGTTTTGGTCCACCTACAGAATTTTAAAAAGATTTTTGATACCATATTCAGTTTCATCAGATTCTTGTGTCTCTTTCAAAATTCCTCTTCTAAAATGGGAAAACTAAGTTACTGCTTAATTTTTGGTTAATCCCCCAACCCCCTCAATTGAATTTTTCCTTCTGTTAACTAGATGGAAAGACTACTCTGGTAAAGAAAAATGGAAAGAGTTTTTTCAAATACTCAGTAGCAGTGGTGGTTGGTAGAAATCATCAAGTACATTTTAGGGAAATTCATCTTTTAACTGCATCCCAGTAACATAACTTTTCACATATGATTTGTCTGTTTGAACTAAACCATGCCAGATTTTGCTGTAGGTTACAGCACGACAGGAGACCATGTAAAGAAGAAACAAGGGTAGAGTTACTCCTAAGGAGTGTCCTATCAGTTTCATAGTCTATAATCTCGGTATCCTTAGTGCTATGTTCTGAAGTTTATAAATGAAGAGTAATCTAAAAAATATGTATGTTGCTTTTTTCTTTTTGAACTCTTAACGTCTACTTTATTAAAATAATTTTTATTAAATGCATAAGGTGATAACATTAGAATATACAGAATATTTTAAAGTGACTTTAAATGCATTTATTTCAAAAGGCTTTTCTCTCTAGTTTTAATTCTTACCCTTTCCAAGCAGTTCACAGTACCCCTTTGTTACTTCCCCGTCCTGTCACTGCTCTTACATGATGCTCTACTGATGTCACAGTTAGTCCCATAGCAACCACTAAAATGTTTCATGGAAGTGATTTCATTGTGGTTATCAGGGGGTAAGAATTGGCAGGAAGTTATAGAGGTGCAAATAGTTGCTGCACTTGTCTTGCAGCTGAACAAGAAAATGTTGCTCCTACAGAGAATAAAATACCTTCCAGAGGCAGGGGAATCTCATACATTCCTGGTATGGCTGTAAGAGCTTCGTAAACTGGTTTCTCTTTCGATTCCGCTATTTTTTATTCATTTTCTTCTGTTATACTTCTTATTCCTTTGCTAGATTTCTAAGCATTATTGAATATTAAATGGGTAGGCCGCCACTGCTGCAAATATTCATCCTCTTCTTTAGGTCAGGGGTTGGCCAACATTTCCTGTAACAATTTCTCCGCTCTGTTGCTATAGCCCATACACTGCCATAGACAGTTTGTAAATGAATGATTGTGACTATATTCCAGTAAAACTTCATTGACGGACATTGAAATTTGAATTTCATAAAATATTCATGTGTCATAAAATATTCTTCTTTGGAATTTTTTCAGTGACTACAAATGCAGAAACTGTGCTTACCTTGCACACTGTACAGAAATGGGATGAGCGAGATTTGGCCCATGAGCCATAGTTGGCTAAAACCTGCTTCAGATTGTTATTCTTCATACATGAGAACTATTTTGACTTATTCTGAATCAATCACTTTTTTCTTAACCTTACAGTTTAAAAGTATAATAAAAAAGAATTTGTTTACACACGGACCTTTCCCCCCCAGAAATCCAATTCCTGGTCTTCCCTGTGGTGGAACATTTACTAGAGTAGTTCAGTGTACACTGGGTGTCATGATCTTTTTTTCACTGATCCTCAGGCTCTCCTTTTCTCGCTAGATTTTTCACAGCCTTTAAAACAATGTGTTTTGGATATTAGCATATTTTAGGTTATAAGGTTATTATATCATTGCAAATATTTTATCAAATTCTATAAATTATAGCCTAGAAGGGTAACGTGCAGGGTGATTCATTTTAAAATTGCTGGTCAAGGCATCTTAAAATTTGTTTTAAAATTTTAGGATATTTCATCAGTTATTACACACATAGTTGTCTGGTCTGACTTTCTGGCACTTTAAAAACTCATGAGTTGAATAGGCAGTTTTATCAACTAAATTCTTCTTTTAACAGCTTCCTATAAAAGTTTAACCTTTGACAGTGCAGCCAATAAGGTATTTTCTTAAATCTGGTTTTCTTAGTAAACAGTTCAGGAACTGTTAGACAGTTACAAACTAGTTTAATAGAGGGTCATCCGGCTAAAAGAAAAATAATCATCATAAATACGATTCCCTTGAAAAATATCCTTCTAACAGTGTTCCTCAGACACCTCAGTGATTTTGTGATCTCTAAATTATGGTTTGTTGTTTATGGAACCAAGTTTTTTTATACTTCTTTTTCCAGTTAGAAATTAACTTTCCAGGTAATACATTCTCTAGTTATATCCAGTAGATTTTCTTCTGCTGATTTTAGGTACAGAGAAGGGGGCGTGATATATTTTTTCTCCAAAATAACACTTTATTTTATAAGCTCTGAAAAAAGAACTCCCTATGATTGTATAATGTAGTTATACTGCTCTTGAGTAAGTTTAAGTACCATCGACAGACTGTGATGCCAAATTATTTTTTTTTAAAGGTTTTATTTATTTTTTGACAGCGAGATAGGGAACACAAGCAGGGGGAGTGGGAGAGGGAGAAGCAGGCTCCCCACCAAGCAGGGAGTCCTGATGCAGGGCTCGATCCCAGGACCCTGGGATCATGACCCGAGCCGAAGGCAGACGCTTAACGACTGAGCCACCCAGGCGCCCCTCTCATGCCAAATTATTAAAGATCTTGATGATCTGTACTTAATTAGAAGGTGTCATTGCAAGGTCATTATAAGTTAGACTACAGTAGAATAGAATAAGAAAAAGTAAGGTTGTTGATTCGTGATTCAACCTTGGGGGATCTGTTTTTTCTCAAACTTTAAAAGATGCTCACTCTGTGCCATGTTTTAAAAAGAAATTATTTCAACCTTTATTTTCTTGAAATTTTTATGTCTGTCTTTCTTTTGATGGTTTCCATACTGTGTTTTCCTGTTGGGCGAGTAGAGAAAGCACATGTGCACACAGAGGGTGTGTGTGTGTGTGTGTGTGTGTGTGTGTGTGTGTGTGTGTTTTCAAGTTTGTGTTTGCATAAACTTTTTGTTTTCATTATGGAAGCAGGTCCTAAAAACCAACTGTTTCTGTTGACAATATTTAAAAATTTTGTCTTTTCCCCATGATCTGATGTATGTTAGAAGAAAATTGACTAGTAGTATACCTGTTACAATATTTTACTTATGTAAGAGAGTAGGATTTGTAACTGTAATTTTTGGAAAAAACAATTTTATGAATCAATTGGGGTAACCACTTGCTTGTGTATATGACGTTCTTTTATACAATCCTCTGTTGAATGAGTTCAACAGAGCCTCTATTTTTTGCTCTCCTAGCATGAATTTTTCACTTAGAACGTCTATTTCCTCTGAATGCTTCTTCCAAAGGCTTGTTTTTTTATAGAGTGCTTACTCTTAATGGTAAAGGAAGACATAAAGTTCATGGAGAAGTGCCTCAAGGAATTTTGATGGTTCATATATGGTCCTCAAGAAATTTCTTTTAAAGATTTTATTTAATTATTTAGAGAGAGAGTACATGTGGGGTAGGATCAGAGGGATAGAGAGAAGAGAATCCCAAGCAGACTCTGCGCTGAGCAAGAAGCCTGTTGCAGGGCTTCATCCCATGACCCTGAGATCATGATCTGAGCTAAAACCAAGAGTCAGATGCTCAACCAACTGAGCCACCCAGGCGCCCCAAGAAATTGATTTTTGTTTGATATATACGAAACTATTGTGGTCAGAAATCATCTGGTGAATAACTTCAGTTCTATTTTGCTTTTAAAAATAGGGTGCATCAGCAGCACCTTGGTGACCCAGTCGGTTAAGCATCCCTCTCTTGATTTTGGCTCAGGTTGTGATCTCAGGGTCTTAAGATCCAGCCCCGCATCAGGCTTTGTGCTCAGCATGGAGTCTGCTTGAGATTCTCTACCTCTGCCCCTGCCACTTGTGTGCTCTCTCTCTCTCAAAAATAAATAAAAATAAATCTTTAAAAAATAAAAATAAGATGCACTTATTTTTTTTTTGAGGGAGAACCCAGATTTCTCCCTCCGTATAGAGGAATATATGCCAAGCACTTTTCTTTATATAATTTGAATAAGGTTACAACCACAGAGACTTCTAAGAACCAGTAAACAAAGTAGATTTTAATTAACAAGTGGCCTCCTTGTAAAATGAGAGATGATCAACTTTGCAGGACCTAGATACTTTATTCATCAAATTCTCCATTTAGCAGCAACAAGAATACAAAAAAATACCTTCTAATGTTTCTTTTTATAAATTTGCTGAGCCTTAGTGGCAAGGGTAGGAGTGCTTGATTTAGATTTCTGACTAGGACTCTTTCATGTCCAACAAGTGCAAGGATTAACAGTTCTTTCCATTCGAACCTTTGGTACTTTTAGATTTCATTAGTCATGTTAAAGCATTTCAGTAGCCATGTGACTTGTCTTCTCTATGCCAAGAGATGAAGTGAGAAAAGTGTTTTAAATAAACTTAGCATTCTAGTACCATATGCTGAACACAGACATCCTTTTTTTGAGTGACATGTTTTCCTGTGCCTTTTGAGGGGATAGGTGTAGGTTTACATGCATATTTACATGGTAAAAATCATGTAACCTCTGTGTTCACTTACGCTTTAGCCAAAAGCTGAAGAGGAGCTTTCAGATGACAAAGTAGTTGAATCTGAACAGGATAAAATGAACCAAGGGTTTCATCCTGGAAGAGACCCCTCTGACCTAAAAAAAGTAAAAACTGTGGAGGAAAATGAAGAAGAAGCTGAGCCTGTACGTAACGGTGCTGAAAGTATTTCTGAGGGTGAAGGAATAGATGCTAATTCAGGCTCCACTGATAGTTCTGGTGAAGGGGTGACATTCCCATTCAAACCAGGTAAGTGTATCCCTGCCTTCCTGTGCATGCCTTTCCTTCTCACCTTCTCTCTGTTATAATCTCACAGCAATGTTGTCTCCTTGTAGAGAAATACTGCATGGAAGATAAGAGGCTCATCACAGTGTAATATTTACAGAATAGATTAACAGGCATAAGTTAGTGACTAGCAAATCCTGGGAGTTCTCTGTGGGCGGAAGTGATATCTGATGCTAGTATTCTGCTTTTACTGGCAGAGCAGCTGGCAGAGGATATCAGTCAGTGCTAGGCTGGTGGAATTCTACAAGAGGAATTTACTTTTATTTAGTTTAATTGAAAGGGCTGTTTCAGTGCTCCTTTGTGCTCATCATTTCACAAGCCTTAATCACTTACCCTTACTACATGTAATACACTGACATTTTTTACTCTATTCTCTTCTTTTAAAAATGTTGGGTTATGGGGTGCCTGGCTGTCTCTGTCGGTAGAGCATGTGACTCTTGATCTCGGGGTCGTGAGTTCAAGCCCCACGTTGGGCATGGAGCCTACCTAAAGGGAAGAAAAGAAAAAAGAAAAAATTTTAAATGTTGGTTGTAACTCCCTAATTTCACAGCAGAAATTTGTTGACAGAAATCACTGTGTAGAACTGAACTACAATCATCAGAAGCAGTGTGACTAGCTTATTAAGCACATGCAGTATGAGAAGTGTCCTGTGAAGTACATGATTAGCCTCAGAGGCTCTTTCATCTTTAGGCACCATCAAGTCCATTAAAGTCTATCCCAATCCTATGTAAACCCATGTTTAACTTTGAGATTTTCAGAGTGATTTGGCATGACATGTGGGGAAAGATGGTTCATTTGATCGAAAGTTTGGGGTGGGTACAACGTTTTTCTTAGTTTGCCAAATCTGAGTGACTTCTGTGTCAGATTGGGTTTGAAAGTAGAATATCAGACATCAACAATAATCTTAGACAAAAATTGGTGACATACAACCAACATTTTTAAAAATGGAGAATAAAAAATTGTCAGTGTGTTACAGGAGCAAGGGTAAATATTGTTTTAAGAAACTTTTCTTTTATTTAAATTTGTATTTGTCCTGAGTTATATATGGTCATTATATTTCTTATTGTGAGTTGTAGTAAGAAATGTTTGAAAGTCACTGATTGATACCAACTTAATAAAATGATCTTTTCACTACTAGTAAACTGCTGCCAGTGGGCTTTATGAAATTGAAGGGCTATGCTATAGTAACATTTTTTTTTAAATTTTAGGACTCAATATACTAGAATTACTTCTAAAGATCTAGGTTTGTATCATATCATGAAGCACTTGTGGCTACCACCAGTCCTTTAGGAGATTGAGACATTATTGTCATTTATCGGACTGTGTCAGTGTGTGTGTGTGTTTGTGTGTGTTTGTGTGTGTGTGTGTTTTGTTTGTTTTTTGAGTAAGCTTTATGCCCAACATGAGGCTCAAACGCATGACTCTGAGTCCCATGCTCTACTGACTGAGCCACCCAGGTGCCCCCTATCAGTTATATTTTTATCCTTTAGTTTGGCAAGGAAAAAGTACCCAACCATAAGCCCCAACTATATTGAACAATTAAACTGTAGTATACCCTCACAGTAACTGGGAAAAAAGCAATTTAAAATTTATTTATTTTTAAAGATTTTATTTATTTATTTCACGGAATGATAGAGCACAAGTAGGCAGAGTGGCAGGCAGAGGGAGAGGGAGAAGCAGGCTCCCTGCTCAGTGGGGAGCCCGATGCGGGGCTCGATCCCAGGACTCTGGGATCATGACCTGAGCTGAAGGCAGATGCTTAACTGAGTGAGCCTCCCAGGCTTCCCGACAATTTAAAATTTAGATCCCAATAAACTGCCTGCCTTTTAATGAATATGGTAAGATAATAAGGATTTGGTTGAAAATATCTGCAGTGTTCTCACAGACCATCATGAGTCTATCACCTACATATTAAGAATCACTAATATAAAAAAGGACCAAGAGTACTATCATGAAGTGATCTGGGGGCCTGATTTTGATAAGAGTTTTTAATTAAAAGAAAAATACTGTGACACGCTTTTCTTACCCAACAAAAATTTCAAGAAATTTTCCAACTTTATATAATGAGATTAGGACTGTGAGAAATGATAGCTATAACAACAGTCATAGTAGCAAAGTGAGTGTTACGGCAAAAACTAATTTACAATTAATATTAAAAATATTACTACTGGTGGGAATAAAAATAGTGCCACTGCTATGGAAAACAGTATGGGGGTTCCTCAAACAATTAAAAAGACACCATATGACCCAGTAATTCTGCTTTTGGGTATTTACCCAACGAAAACAAAAACAAACTCGAAAAGATATACGCATCCCTGTGTTTATTGCAGCATTATTTCCAATAGCCAAGATATGTAAGCAACCTAAGGGTCCACTGATAGATGAAAGGATAATGAAGATACGTGTATGTACGTGTGTATGTGCATGCATGGCGTACACACACACACGGTGGAGTATTACCCAGCCATAAAAAAAGAATGAAATCTGGCCATTTGCAACAGTGTGGAGGTATCTAGAGGGTATTATGCTTAGTGAAAAAATCAGACAGAAAAAGACCAATACCATATGATTTCAATGATAGTGGAACCTAAAAAACAAACAGAAAAACAGAAACAGACTGATAAATACAGAGAACAGTCTGTGATTGCCAGAGGATAGGTAGATGGGGGTGGGCAGAAAACGTAAACATATTAAGAGGGTCAGACTTTCAGTTACAAAATAAACAAGTTATAGGGATGAAAAGTACAGCATAGGGAATATAGTCAATAATACTGTAATAACTTTATATGGTGACAGATGGTTAACTACACTTACCATGGTGAGTGAGCCTTTTGTAAAGTATATAATTGTCAAGTCACTGCCTTGTATACCTGAAACTAATACAATATTTTGAGTCAACTATACCTCAAAAATAAAATAAACCATACTCAGGGGGAAAATTATATATAGCTGCTTAGCCTTTCAGAATCTTACAGAAATTATTTGTATTTGTTTTGCGTCCTTTTGCCTTTTTTCCCCTCCAAAATAACATTTCCAGGTGAACAACCGGAGTATTCTTCTTTTACGTGAAACCAAAGAGTATTATAGATTCCTTATTTCTGAGGTATTTAAAGGCTTGGTAGTTTATTTAATGAGTATTAGTACATGTTTCTGGCCAAAGGCTGCTTAATGTGTATGTTAAGTGGTTTCTGTAGCAATTTCAGATTACTATCCAAAGGTATTCAGAAGGGATAAAGGAACATAAAGACAGTTTAAAATTTTTACATGACATTTTCTGACAGTAACTCAGTGTTTGCTTTGTGTTTTAGTCTACGACAGGGTAAAGTAAATATCGGAATCTAGTTTGTACTCTTACCTGGTTATCCATATAATGACCCTATAGAGACTTGTCTGTCTACATCCCTTTTTCTAGATTCCTGGAAGCCTGCTGATACTGAAGGCAAGAAGCAATATGACAGAGAGTTTTTGCTGGACTTCCAGTTCATGCCAGCCTGTATACAGAAACCAGAGGGCCTTCCTCCCATCAGTGATGTGGTTCTTGACAAAGTAAGCTGTATACGCAGAGAAAGCTCTGTCTTTCTATAGGGTACTGGTTTCAATTATCAGTACAAATATGTGAAGTATAAACAATTTTTAGGAATTGTTAGACTAAATGTGTTTGAATTAAAATATATGTTTAAGTATTAGAGTTTTCCTACATATTGTTGGATTTGGGGTTTATTGTAGATAACTGTAACTTTGGGTTTGGCCCATATTTGAGTGGTAACGGGTTAAAATGCATTAATTCCCTGCTTATTATTGCTATTGCCTAGTGATGTGGTGAAAAATGTGTGTCTCCTGGGCCAATATGGCTAAAGTGATATGGAGCTCTTTATTCACTGTTCTAAAATTTCAGTATGAAATAGAATGACTTTGAGGACAGATCAGATGCCTAAGAGTGTATTTGGCAAATCAAACTTAAGTGGTAATCAAATAATACATAATAAATAATGTTGTATTTCAAAATTTCCCTAATACATACTTATAGTGATTACTTTTCAGTTTTGGCAAATAAATAGGCACCTTTTCTCTTTACATCTGATCTCAATGGTGCATACAGGAGATTAGTACAGTGTTTATTTTGTCTTTATTAAATAAAAAGAGTAGAGTCAGATGTGTATCTGCCCAAGTAATTTTATGTATATCAATGATGAACCAGTGATGATGACCAAGCTTAAAATATTTTTGTTTTGAAGAGAAAATATTAATCCTTATTGAAGTGTAGAGGGTAACTCTCTTTCAGAATGAGATCTACCTCTTTTTGAGATTTCCAGCAGCTCCTTATTCAGACCCTATGTGTATTATTTTCCTCTTTTATAGCCATAGGGTTTCTTATTTCTCTTGGTATCTAAGTCTTCTCTCTTAGGTACTAATGTGGCAGTGCTGATTTGAGACTACTTTAGAGGGTAGGTTTTACATACACTAAATCAGATTATCCTCTGGAAAATATTCTTTCTTATCTGCCTACCTTATTGGTTTCTGACTTCAAACCAATTTTTAGTTGATTTCTCCCTGAGCTACTTCACTTTGTTTCATATACAGTCACAGTACATGCCTATACAAAGCCAGATACCTCCAATTAACAAGGCAAATTGAGTGAGATTTTAAACCAGTGATCACACATGAAAAATACCTCCTTTAGAGACTTACTGTTCACTTGGAATATTTGCTTTGCTAACCATAAAACAACAGCAACAAAATCGACATATGTGACAGCAGGATTTTTCAAAGTAAGTGCTCTGATGTCCTGGTGAATATCCTGGAAAAAATCCCCAAATTTGTCCCTAGGTCATAGGATCTCATAGCTTTTCTTGTGCCATTCTGCTGGTCCTTGAATATCTATTGAGCCAGTGTACTGATTGTGTCTAGCCTCTCCTCGGAAATTTTAGGCCTAATCAGTCCCAGTGCATCAGAAAATTATTTCTGGCTTAAGTCCAGAGAAGCTCCCATGATTCACATTGGACTTCTCTGCCTCAGAAAGCCAGTGTTCATCATTTTAGCTGACATAACTTTTAGTCTGAGTTTTTACTTTTTTGGTACTTGAATGTTTTGAAACTTGTGTTAAGCTTTCCTTTGCTTCTTCATGCAGATCAACCAACCCAAATTGCCAATGCGAACTCTGGATCCTCGGATTTTGCCTCGAGGACCAGACTTTACTCCAGCCTTTGCAGATTTTGGAAGGCAAACCCCTGGTGGAAGAGGTGTACCTGTAAGTGCAAGTTCCCTACAACCCAATTAGTTAGAAACTGTCATAGACTTCATGACATCTTGTCTCACGGCAAGAGAGCTGATTCCTCTAACCAAGAAGTAGAAGAGGTGAAGACTGTCTTTTTTTCCATACTAATGTTAAAGCAAATAAAGAATACACTGAGTCATTTTTACTTGAGAGAAACTGGTCTGCATTAATTTGGTCTTGATTTTTTTTTTCATTTTTTTTCAATTGACATGAACTGCAAATGGGTTAAAATAGAGCCAACCTCAAATAGGATTCCTGTTTTAGTTAAGGTCTCTGATGACATTCAGCTAATGGTCATCTCTTTGTCTTTGTTTCTACAGATTTGCAAAGTGCAGAGCAGGCATGGATTGCCAATTCTGGAACAGAGCAAAGCCCCAGCTTGCACTCCACTGGCGATGTCGCACCCACCCCTGAAGAGCCTGCCTCTAGGGGTGCGCTGAATCCTTTTTTTTTTTTTTTTTAAAACAATAGTCTCTGGTGTTATCATATTTTCTGTTTTGTTTTTCTCACTTACTATAGGTTGTGAAGTCAATATATGAACAAATGACATGTACAAAAGAGTGCAGTATTGGTAAACTGCAGGTTGCATTTACACCCCCAGTGGCAGGCTCTTCAGCGGTAGAAGTGACATCACCAGTGGAGTTATGCTGGGGCACTGCGCTGTGCAAGATGTGGCAGGCTGTGCCTACTCCATGCTTTGTAGACTTGCAGAAAGCATGGGGGAGAGTTGCCAGTGGTGTGAAAACCTGTTTTTCCCAAACTAGAATGGTATAGAGAGCACTTAACTTAAACTTCTGGAGGAGCTTGGAGTTTGATGTACATTTGCAAATCACCCTATTAAGACTACTGTATTTTATGTTTGTAAAAATATTTTTATTTAAGGTGACACTTTTTATTTTCCCATCACCGTTTTATTTCTGGAGTGGCAACTTTTGAAACCTGCTTTGAAATAAGACTGTACCCATCAGGAAACAAATGTCACTTTGTAGATATTTGAATTATTTGTTGTTTGCCTGCAGCCAAACACTTATTAAAAACACTTCAGTGCCTACAATGTGTTGAAGGCTTTGTAAAACCTACAGAAAAATCTTCCTAATTTGAAGCGTATTTATTGAGCATTACCATTTAAGGATATCTCTGTGTGTGATATTCTTTTCTCACACAGGTTGGAAATTTAATCTTTATTTTCTGTAAATATGAAATTAAAATTTTTCTCAAGTTTTAATTACCTCACCAGAAAGTCTTTAGAAAGCAGTTTTCTAGAAACCATTTGATACCTTATTTTTCAGCATTATTTCCCTTTTTGGTGGTGTAAAGTTGTATTCTGTTAGCATTTATTTTTGGTTTTGTTTCAGTTTTGATTTATATCTTTGTTTTGCCAAACAGTAGAAATAATGTTGATGCCATTTTGATTAGTCTCTGGTTAACAGCATCTGTCATTATCATATTGCTCTGTTTTGTTCATATGTCACTCAACAGAAGGTATGATTTGCCGCGTCTCCTCTTTCAGTGTATACTGCCACTTTTCATCACCAGCTTGCTGTTGTTTAATAATTAGGTATAGCAAAAAGGAAGTGCTGTGGATTGAGAATAAGCTATGTCTCTTTCAAAATATTGAAATTAGAAAATGAATTTTAAAATCACCACAATGTATGTTTGCCCACTAATCTATCTGCTTACATATGTAAATGAGTTATTTGGTACAAAGTAATGTGATTGGAAATGAGCCATTATCAGGAATTTGTAATGTCTCCAAAAAGGTCAGCTTTAGTTATTTCACTTTCTTTAAATAGATCTGTCATTTGCCACAAGCTAATTTTTAAGTGAAATTGTGATCTGTCAGACTAATACTGATATGTTAAGCCTAATGCAAGTAATTATTCTTCCAGCATCTCCCATAGCTAACAAACATGCTCCACTTAATTTGTCCTGCTTACCTTGGTATATTGATGTGGCTACAGATGGGAATTTCGTAGGATGTAGCTATGTAACATATAAAGGAACAGTTAATAATGCTGTTTGGAAAAAGTAGCAGTCCTGTGCTTCATCGTTTTTGGTTCCATACCTCTAATCATTTTTCCCAGCCTCCCAATTGGCTTATAAATGATTACCATCCAAAGATACTAAGATCTGCTAGACTTAGCTTCTTGGTGTGGCTTCAGTAACTATGACTCCTATATAAACTTACCTGCAAAAGACTTGTTACAAAATATGTTGAATGGGTAGCAATTGTTTTAACATGTCATATGCAGTTACATAACATTTTCAAACATAAAGGTCTTGTGATGGGTAGTAACTTATAGATCTGTTGGAAGCACTCAGGCAGTATCTTCTCTACTTTTTTAAAAGTCAAATTACTCAGCAAGTGTGATGTTAATTTTAATAGTAATCTGGGCAGACATCACAGAAAGTGCCCCAAAAGACATGTATTGAGAGAGAGCTAGTGGACCTAGACTAGTAATTTACCATTCATATTTATTTCAGTTAGCTTTGAGGTTAGCTGAGCTATTATAAAAATTCTAGGAGCAAAGAGGTTTCCTGAGCTTATATCATCCTTCCCTTTCTCCTTAAAGGAACACTTGGCTATCTCTCTTTAAAACTTGGTAGGATGAATTTTGGTCCTGTTTTCTTTGGTTATTCAGGTAAGCAGAGGAGTTTAAGGTTATAGTCTATGAATGAGGTAAGACCAATGTATACTGAACTCTAAAACAGAGATGGGTATGATTTTTATTTAATACATTTAAGAAAAATATATGAGAGTGGGTAAAAAAAAATTTAAAACTCAGTTCACCTGGGGAAAAAAATGCAGCTCACTAGTTAATCAACGCCAATTTTTTTTTTAAAAGATTTTATTCATTTATTTGACAGAGTGAGCAAGAGAGCACAAGCAGGGGGAACAGTAGAAGGAGAGGGAGAAGCAGGCTCCCTGCCTAGCACAGAGCCCCTCCCAGGGCCCTGGGATCATGGCCTGAGGCAAAGGCAGATGCTTAACCATCTGAGCCACCCAGGAGCCCCAATCAGCGCCAAATTTTGATGTTTCATTTGAGTTGTCACATTTTTGGACCCTGAGCACATGATACCTTAAAATTCCTCTGCCAGCCAGGAAGTTCCTCTTCCAGTCAGGATTGTCTGTCCTTTAAGCAAGGAGACCAGGCTCATTTTTATATATATACACTCCATACTCTTTAATTTTATGTGTGTTTAGTAAATAAATCATTCATTATATATGGTGCATCTTTTGAAGGATGCTATAAATTTGACAGTTTGTATTAAACTTTCCACACGCATGCACACACAAAGGACATGAAATGTTTGAGGTTAATTATATCAATATAGATAACACTTTTTAAAAAGTTTTTTCTTCTTTGGTATTGATGATAACTTACCTAGTTTTTAAGGTCCTTTTATATGCCTTATATCCCTGATCCTCATAATAACTTTTGTAGGTAGGACTGGCATTTAATGTATGAGAAAGCCTAAGTTCAACAAAGTTCAGAGACTTGCTCACAGTAACTTTGCTCATTAAGTAGCAGAATTGAACTCGAAGTCCACAGTCCTTTTGTCTTCTAATCCGCCTCTTTTTTCTGCTGTACCATAGTCCTCTCAGGCATTGATGTTCCACACAGTGATTTCATTTTCAGAGTATAAGCATTAGTACATTAGAGATTAATTTATTAATTGTGTTAATCATTTGTAAGTATTATAGATCTGTTGAAGACTCAGTATTCTTGGTTAAATATTTGTGAACAATATCTATCTTAGTTATATCCATTTGATATTATTATATCAAATAATTTTCAAGGTTGTCTTGGGAGCTTGCACCTAGTTTATAATACCAACTTTATATCTGGGACTAACAGCTTATGCTATCTTTTCAAAACTTACTTTCCTTTGAAACATTGTTGTTTAATATTTCTCACATCTTTATGCAGTTCATTTAAAATCCATACGTATTTGTCTTGGAGCTGGTAGAGATTCAACACCAGTCATATTTACTTTCCAGATTCAAATTTCACTGCATATTCATTGATATTTCTAGTAAGTACTTTTTGGAAATGGAAATTTCATACTTCATTCAAACATGATTAAAATTATATCCCCAAATTATGATTTTACTGTGGCTCTTACCTGCTTTTGATATAATTACCTTTCATTATACCCACTAATCTTTGTTCTAGACAAATTTTTATGTGCAAATGCATGGATTAGTTTAAATGTCCTGTGATATAATTGTTTATTTGAACTTATCCAAGCATTGAAAAAGATTTTAACCCATACTAGTAATCCATTCTAGTTTACACTAGAATATAACCTGAATTATAAAAATCAGACAATATTTGGTGTACTGCATTCTCTTATCAGAATTGTTTTGTCTGGGCTATTATATCAAAGTTTCAGTTATAAATAAATTTTTTTTAAGATTTTATTTATTTATTTGAGAGAGAGAGAATGAGAGATAGAGAGCAGAGAGCATGAGAGGGAAGAGGGTCAGAGGGAGAAGCAGACTCCCCGCTGAGCAGGGAGCCCGATGTGGGACTCCATCCCGGGACTCCAGGATCATGACCTGAGCCGAAGGCAGTCGCTTAACCAACTGAGCCACCCAGGCGCCCATAAATAAATGTTTTTATAGTAGTACTGTCCAGTTTAGCAACTGCTCCCTATTGGTACTTTTCCAGTGTGATCTTCTTTAGTTCTTTTTTAGTGAAACTGTGTGTGGTACCTCGGACTTTTTAATGTGTACCAAATACTCTGAGATTGTATCATTTATACTGAGTACTTAGCTGGCTATATTTGACAAGATTGGTGTGTATTGTCCAGGAATTCTATATTTTGATCCTTGGTAATATTGCTATTACTGATTAGGGCAGATGGTGAAGTATAATGCTGAGAATGAGTGTTATTTAAAGGCTTTCAATCTTACTAGTTTTGACCTCAGACCATGTATCTCTTAGAACTTGTTTTCTTACCTAAAGCATGAAATTTAAGTTTCTACTTCCTTCTCTGAAGCTTCATATAAATTCAAAAGGGCAGTATTGGGGCACTAAGTGAGATATGATTCTGATCTGTATGTCTTATGTGAAGTTTTTTTTCTTCCTTCAAGTTTAATTACGTTATTTAACTCAGCATTTAGAAAATGGTATAACAGGGGCTTCTGGGTGGCTTGGTCAGTTAAGTGTCCGACTCTTGATCGCAGCTCAGGTCTTGATCTCAGGGTTGTGAGTTCAAGCCCCGCTTAGGCTCCATGCTGTGCAGCCTACTTAAAAAAAAAAAAAAAAAAGGAAAGAAATGGCATATCACAAAAATGCAACAGATCTGGAAGGAACAGAACTTACTATCAACCCAACATGTTTAATCTTGAAAAGTTATTTCCTAGCATTTAAGATAGCAACTATTAGGGATATTTTAATACACAGAATGCAGCTTTTACTTCATTATCTCTTGCAGTAATTGTTCTTAATTCGATGACCATTATGACATGCCAGCAAGTATTTTTAACAGAGTGAGTATAGTGGGACTCTAGCAGGAGCTAAGAACTGACAAAGAGAAGAAATTTTTTTCAGGGAACAATTTAGTTAAATCTGATTTAATGATTTAAGAAAAACTTATTTTAGTATTTCTGGCCCAGGAAATTTACAGGGATCCATTAAAATCTGTAGTAAGGCTGGATGTCTATGCTATAAAGAATTTTTGTGATAAAATTGTATTTGCATTTCACATTGGCAGAATAGAAACCTAGTTTTTGAAGCAGCTTTATAACTGTGATGATTAATGCCTCTGAATATGTATAATTATTCAAGTGAGCAGTCCAAAGTCACACAACTAGTAAAAAATAAAACTTCAGTTTGGGGGTACTCTTTTTTGTTAGGAACAATAGCAGTATCAAACAAAATTTTCCATCACTTTATCTAATCTAGGACTTTAGGATTAAAAACTGTAGTAGTGGAGAACATTACATTGATGGTATTCTAAGGTTGTCCTCTCACCTTCTCCCCCCAAAAAGATCACATCTAAATTGAGTGCTTAATACCCATCTTTGCATCTAAGAAGTGTTTAGTGTGATCATCAGGCTTGACTTGAGCGGCACAGCAGAGGCAGTAAATCTTAAGTACACTTTGTAGATATAATAAAGAATATTCTTGTCCTAGTTGTTGAACGTTGGACCACGAAGATCTCAACCTGGCCAGAGAAGAGAGCCCAGGAAGATCATCACAGTCTCTGTGAAAGAAGATGTGCACCTGAAAAAGGCAGAGAATGCCTGGAAGCCCAGCCAAAAACGAGACAGCCAAGCTGAGGATCCTGAAAACATTAAAACTCAGGTGAGAACAGAAGCACATTCTAACATTGTTTTGGAATTATAATGCTGTTGTTTTAATTTGCTTTAACTTGTTATTTTGTCGTATTAGTATACCTAGAGATTTTAGTTGAAGATTTTTGTAATTTTTTTGCTTTTTAAAAGCATTATTCTAGGGACGCTTAGGTGGCTCAGTGGGTTAAGCATCTGCCTTCAGCTCAGGTCGTGATCCCGAGGTCCTGGGATCAAGTCCCGTATCAGGCTCCTTGCTCAGTGGGGAGCCTGCTTCTCACTCGGCCTGCTACTCCCTCTGCTTGTACTCTCTCTCTCTGACAAATAAATAAATAAAATCTTTAAAAAAAAAAAACATTATTCTAAAATCTTTAGCATAATGGGTGCCAGACAACCTGCTATTTTATTGTTTGGTTTTCAAAACAAATACTATATATCTAGAGGGTTTGTATGTCATAGACTTTGATCATTTAGGCTTAGATCAATGCTTGCTTTTCTTAGAAATGTGTTTTTAGATTATCAATCAGTATCCTATGCTAGTCTAGTTAGCATATTGCTTTTATGTCTCCTTGCCAGGCCTTCATTTCCAGTAAGTTAGAATTTAGAAATCAATCTTGTTTTGGAGTCTTTTGGAATAAAATTGAATTCTTTGCATCTTTCTATGCATACCTGCCTGCAGAATTCCTTAGGGTAAATTGAATGAATTCCTTTAACCCAAACAGAATTATTTTTTTGTGTCAGATTATGTAGTCTTCATTCATCATTTGCTGTACACACAATGCCATTTCCTATACTTGGGTTACCGCTACTATCCTTTTTGGATTTTTCACTTTTGGGCACCAAGACTAGAGTCTCCTCTTAAATTTTGCACCTGTATCAGTGTTAGGCATCACAGATCATATGCTGACTTGTCAGTGTCTCGTTCCTTAAATATCTTTCCTCTCGTTGTGAATAGTTTAATACAGTAGTGAAAAGCTTCAACTCTGGAGACAGGCAAGTTCTGTTAGGCAAGTTCTTAATCTCAACTGTAAAATGAAGATACTAATATTACCTATCTCATAGGGCTATTGTGAAGATCGAATTCAAGTAATACAAAGCAGTTGGCATGGTTCCTGGAGCCCAGGTACTCAGTATGATGATGTTCCTGGGTCAAATATGTGCCTTAACATGATGAACTTACTCATCACAAAGCCATGCTGTCAGACCTTAATTGGCTGTCTTTGTTCATCATTTTAGTGATTTCCCCAGACATTTGTCCCTAAGTACATCCTTCTCCAGGGTCACTGAATTCAAGTACCTAATCTTTCCTGAATTTCTTTTCAATGTGTCTCAACCTTTTTTTTTTACAAAAGCCTTCTGCATCTCTCCCTTTGATCCCTCTGAGAAGTGCTGATTGTTAAGGTGCCTAAATGGCTTGCAAAGATAGGTGTAATTCCTGCTGAATCTTTATCACTGAAGATGAAGAGGTCTTGTTTTAGTAGTTAAGGCATTTATATTAGTGCCTCATTTCATTAGATTCTTGCAGCAGCTATGAAGGAGGGAATAGATATTTTCCTTCTTTTACATATGAGAAAACTGAAGCTTTGAGAAATTAAGTTACCCACAGTATTGTGGAATAGTCCATTTGTTGCAGTTTGTAATCTGCCTCTGTTTACTTTGTAACAAAGTTCTCCCTGTTATTGCCTAATAATTAAGTTTTATTTCAGAAACATAATTTTATTGTGTTGCAGTATCATTCATTAATTGGCTAAGTTTTCTTTAGTGAAAAGATAAAGCAAATCCAGTGGAGAATTAATAGGCTTCTTTTTCAGGGCCAGTACAATCCTCTTGTTACTGATACTTTTCTTCTAAGTATGGTGCGTTTTTGCCCCATTCCTTCTCTTTTTTGGTGTTTTCATTCTTCTCTTTTGCATAGGTATACGTCACGTTGACTTGGTGCTCCTGCTAATTCTGTTTCTTCTTTTTTTTTTTTTTTTAAAGATTTTATTTATTTATTCATGAGAGACAGCGAGAGAGAGAAGCTGAGGGAGAAGCAGGCTCCCAAGGAGCAGGGAGCCCGATGCGGGACTCGATCCCAGGACCCTGGGATCATGAGCTGAGCCGAAGGCAGACACTTAACCATCTGAGCCACCCAGGCGCCCACTAATTGTGTTTCTTCACTTTTTTGTCAAATAGTGGTTTTATTGTTGCCTCCACTTCCAAAAAAACTCTTTCAGATCATGACCTGAGCTAAAGGCAGTAGCTTAACCAACTGAGCCACCCAGGTGCCCCAATAAATGACTTTTTTTATCCTAGTTTTTAAGCTTAGATTATCATCTGAAATATTTGAGGTATTTGAAGGTTGGGGTTTTTTTCCTTCCTTCCTCTCTACCTCGCTGCCTCCCTTTCTTTTTCTTTCTTTCTAAAGATTTATTTTACACTAGAGGAGGAGAATGCGGGGGCAGGGATGAGGGCAGAGGGAGAAAGAGAGAAACTCAAGCACACTCCCCGCTGAGTGTAGAGCCCAACATGGAGCTCCCTCCCAGGACCCTGAGATCATGACCTGAGCCAAAACCAAGAGCTGGCTGCTTATTGACTGAGCCACCCAGTTGCCCTGAGGTTGTTGTTTTTTCCTTGATATAAAGCACAGGTTGTTTTAGACCTCATCAATATTCTCAGTTGGTAGAGGCAATTGAGAGAAGTTTGGTGATTTTCCCACCCCTAAGAAACTCAATTTTTTTATAAAAGCAATGCTAACTCATTGCTGAAAAACTGTTAACATATTGGCACATATTCTAAAAATCCTTATATTCAGATACCAGGTTTTTTATAGGGATCAAATAAAACATTTTATAGGCCTTTACAGTTATGTCATGGTTTCATGGATTTTTACAACTTGATATTTTACTGAGGCGTAATTCACATTTAGTAAGCTTTATTTTTGGTGTATAATTCCACAACTGATGAATACACACCACCACAATCAAGATATGCTATGTTTTTATCAGACCCCAGGAATTTCCTTGTGCTACTTTATGCCCATCTTCTCCCTAAATGCCCACATCTAGTAGTCAGTAATCTGTCCCAATAGCACTGGTTTTTCCAAAATATCAAATAAATGGAATCATTTTGAATATAGCTTCTTTCACTTAGCATATTACATTTGAGATGCATCTGTAGTCATTATATATATGATTAGTTATTGATATACCACAGACTGTTTATCCATTCACAGGGGAAACAGTTTTCAGGTTTTGGCAATTATGAATAGAAGTGCTGTAATCATTTATGTATAGGATTTGTGTGAACATAAGCTTTTGTCTCTTTTGGGTAAAATTGTAGCTATGACGTCCATGAATTGTCTGGTAAATATAGGTTTGACTTTATCAGAAAATGCCACACTATTTTCCAAGGTGGTTATCAGACCATTTTGCCTTTCCGCTGGCAAGGCTCTAGACTCTCAGTTACTCCATGTCTTCGCCGGCACTTGTTATTTTGTGCTTTATAAGTGTGAACCATTCTAATGGATGTGTGGTAGCATCGCATTGTTTTAATTTGCGTTTCCAAATGAATAATATATTGAATAAACACATCTTTTCTTGTGCTTAATTGCCATTCTTAGATCTTCTTTGGTAAAATTTCTGTTCTTTTGCCCTGTTTCATTGGCTGGTGGTTTTCTTATCATTGATTTTTGAGAGTTCTGTGTATATTCTGGATACAAATCTTTTATCAAATACGTGTTTCGCAAAAATTTTCTTCCAGTCTGTCGTTTGTCTTTTCATTCTCTAAATGGTGTCTTTTGCAGAAATGAAGTTTTTAACTTTGATCATGTTGAATTTATCAGCTTCTGCATTTATAGGTTATACTTTTGCTGTCATATCTAAAAAATCTTTGCATAACCCAAGAATACAAAATTTTTCTCCTTTCTTGTCTTCTAGAAGTTTATAGTTGTAGGTTTTACATATCTGTCTGTGATCCAGTTTTAATTAATTTTTGTATTTCATGCAAGATATGGATCAAGTTTCCTTTTTTTTTTTCCTTATGTATATCCAGTTGTTCCAGTGCCATTTGTTGGAAGGATTATCCTTTTTCTCAGGTGCCTGGGTGGCTCAGTCATTAAGCGTCTGCCTTCTGCTCAGGTCATGATCCGAGGGGCCTGGGATCGAGTCCCAAGTCAGGCTTCCTGCTCAGCGGGGAGCCTGCTTCTCCCTCTCCCCCTCCGTCCAGCTCATGCTCTCTCTCTTTTGCAAATAAATAAAATCTTAAAAAAAAAAAATTATCCTTTTTCCATTGTTTTCTTTGCACCTTTGTTGAAAATTCATTCATCATATATGTGTGAGTCTAGTTCTAGACTTACATCCCAGTGATATATGTGTCAGTCCCCTGGCCAATACCACACTGTCTTTGTATAGTAAATATTGAAATCAGGTTGTATGAGCCCTCCAACTTTGTTATTTTTCAAAATCATTTAGGCTATTCTGGCTTTTTTTTCCCTTGTCTTTTCACATAAATTGTTGACTCAGCATCTTGATTTCTATCAGAAAGCTCCAAAACCCTACTAGGATTTTTATTGTGATTGTTTTAAATCTATAGATCAGGGGCGCCTGGGTGGCTCAGTTGGTTAATCGACTGCCTTCGGCTCAGGTCATGATCTTGGAGTCCCGGGATTGAGTCCCGCATCGGGCTCCCTGCTCAGCAGGGAGTCTGCTTCTCCCTCTGACCCTCCCCTCTCTCATGCTCTCTCTCTCATTCTCTCTCTCTCAAATAAATAAATAAAATCTTTAAAAAAAAATAAATCTATAGATCAGTTTAGAGAAAATTGACAACTTAACAATAATGAATCTTCTAATACATGTACATGACATAGACCTCTTTATTTAGGTCCTCCTTGATTTCTTTCATCAGTGATTATGGTTTCTTTCATATAGCTCCTATGGATATTTTGTTAGATTCTTAACTATTTCATGGTTTTTGGTGCTATTGTAAACAGTACTTTTAAACTATGTATTTCTAGTTGTTCGTTGCTAATATATAGAAATAAAATTGATATTTGTATGTTGACTTACATTCTGCAATGTTGCTAGACTCGTTTATTAGTTCTAGTATCTCTTTTTGTAGATTCCTTATGGTTTTCTACATAATCATATCATTAATGAATAGAGAGTTTTATTTCTTCCTTTACAATCTGTACAGGTTGTAGTTCTTTTTCTCTGCTTTTTTGCACTGACTAGGACCTCAAGTATGACTTTGAATAAGATGGTGAGAATAGACATTCTTGCCTTATTCCTATTCTTAGAGGGAAAGCAGTCATTCTTTGACCATTAAGTAGAGTTATAGATGCTTTTCTTTTCTAGTTGAGGAAGTTCTCTTCTATTTTTAATTTGATGAGAGTTTAAAATACTCTTGCCTAGTATTCTATACCATAATTTATATTGTATCATAATTTAGACAGATTTTCTATTTTATTTTATTTTAAAGATTTTATTTATTTGACAGAGAGAGACATAGCGAGAGAGGGAACACAAGCAGGGGGAGTGGGAGAGGGAGAAGCAGGCCTCCCGCCGAGCGGAGAGCCCGATGCGGGGCTCGATCCCAGGACCCTGGGATCATGACCTGAGCCGAAGGCAGACGCTTAACGACTGAGCCACCCAGGCGCCCCCAGATTTTCTATTTTGGGACACCTAAGTTATTTGCTATAAAGGGGGTACTGATGGAAGTCATTGTGGCCAAAACCTTTTGTACCTATCCTTAAATATGAATAAATTTCTAAAAGTATAATAGTTGTTTCAAAAGATACATCATAGTTTTTTGTTTTTTGTTTTGTTTTGTTTTAAAGATACGTCATAATTTTAAAGCTTTTAATACACATTGCCAAATTGCCCTGAGAAATGTACCAGAGGATACTCCTGCCAGTGACTATACTTAGTTCCTAGAATTCTCATCAGTTATGGAAAGGAAGTGGTATAATTGTTTGATGTTTGTTAAAATAGATGGACTTAATTATTTCCGTGAAGAGTTCATAATCCTTGTTAATTTGGGAAGTTGAACTTATAAAAAAATATTAATGCTTACAGAAAGAATCATCCTGTCCAGTTACTATAAGACTCTTTTCTTTTTTGTGGCCCTTCTAGGAACTTTTTAGAAAAGTTCGAAGTATCTTAAATAAACTGACACCACAGATGTTCAACCAACTGATGAAGCAAGTGTCAGGACTTACTGTTGACACAGAGGAGCGGCTGAAAGGAGTCATTGACCTGGTCTTTGAGAAGGCTATCGATGAGCCCAGTTTCTCTGTGGCTTATGCAAACATGTGTCGATGTCTAGTAACGGTAAGAAGAGAGGAAGGAGTAAAACCAGAAATCTCCAAGAGGTATATTCTCCCCTCACTACACATTCTTCCCAGAAGTGTTATTGGGGCAACATAAAGGGGAGAATATATTTTTAGCACTTTTTAATATATTCTCAATGTATAAAAAGAATCTTGCTTCATTAAAATGTATCCTCACCTCTGGAGGGGGATATGGAAATAGACTGAAATAGGCCTGATATGGTCCCATCCATTGTGAGCAATACTGAATAAGGTTTAAATTAGTAATATGAAATTATTGGCATGAGCATCCTACCTCTCCTGTTGTGTCTTCTTATAGAAATAAAGTGAATGCTTACATTAACATTTAATTTAAAACTGAAAATATATTGGTTCTAATTTGAGCCTTGGTTGAAATGTTAGGATAGTTATGGTCATAAAAGGTTCAAAAGTGATCATTTCATTTCTTAGAAACTATTAGATTTCTTTCTCTTTACATTGTCCACAGCCATTTAATCTCTACAGCCTGTCAAATCTAGGGCAAGACAATGGGAGACCAAAGAGCTTCTGGTTAGTGTTCATTGTTCTCTATTCTGCAGTTAGAACCCTACCATATACCATCTGTGTTTTCTCTGCCTGTTACTGTTACCCAGGTACTTGTGTCAGAAACGTGTGTCCTTTAACATTTGGGTTTTTTCTTAATTATCACCATTCATTGTCATTTGCCTTGTTATGAAAATGCAGAATTCTGTCATTCTCCCAATATTTTTGAGTTCCTGTGTCAAAGATAGGTAAGTCTGTTGTGACCTGGAAAAGTTATTTCTTCTGTCTATAGGGAATTTAAAATTCATATTGAAAAAAAAAATCCTAGCATTTAACAAGAAAATAATCACTTAGAGCATATTCTGTGACATTGAGATATGTTGATGTTTGAATGGATGTTCTAGACCTAAAAACCAAGTAGAACAAAAAAGAAATGACTATGTTATTGGTAGAATGACAAACTACTTCTGTGAAGCAGGTGGAATTCAGGTTGGGCCTGAGAAGGTTGGGGTGGTGGGAACAAGTATAGAGCAGGGAAAGTTCATGTCTGCGGCAGCGCATGTCGCACAACAGTCACAGACGTGGGCTTGGCATCGCACAGTTCTGGCTTTACATTTTAACTTTAAAATTTCAACTTAAGTTCCTACTCTGCAAGTTGCTAACTTATAATAATAAACTTTATAATAAACTATAATGAACTGTTAATAAACTTTGTAACTTTATAAAATTACATTACCTGTTTAAACCTCATTTTTTAATCCATAAAATAATATTAAGTCACACAATTTGAGGCTATTACAATAACATTAATTTAATAATATTTAATGAGATTGTGTATGTCAAGTTCCTAGCTCTGTATTTGACCTGTGTAATCCCTAAATAATTCAAAATTATATTGGTGGTGGAAAAGATTGCAAAGGTCTTGAAATGCTGGCTGAATGAGGTTGATTGTAATAACAGAAATTATCTACTTAGTACCTACTGGGTTGCATTATGGGTAGATGCTTTACATATATTATTGTTAATAGCTATTATAACCCTGAAAGTTCAGTATTATTAGCCCCACTTCACTGAACAAGAAACTGAGGCTTAAAAAAGGATAAATAACGTGCTTAAGGTCACATAACTAGTAAGTGACAGTGCTAGAATCCAAGTCTGGGATTATTCAGTCACTTGCCATATTGCCTTCTAACATACTGTACTGTAGGTATCTGAAGGCAAACTAATTCTCCATCTCATGCCTGTCGTTTTCCTTGTGGCAGCCATGACATCTTGCAGTCACTCATTAGAACTAGATCCCAGAGCTTCTGGCTTATACTTTAGTGCTCTTTACTAATTATAGATTTAATCCTGTAGGCAGTGAACGATTGTTAATGTTCTTTTTCTCTTTTGTTCATTTGAGAGAGAGAGAGCACGAGAAGGGCAGGGGGAGGGACAGAGGGGGAGAGAGAGAGAGAATGTCAAGCAGACTCCCCACCAGGAGGGGTGCCACATGCGGGGCTCGATCCCACAACCCCGAGAACACAACCTGAGCCAAAATCAAGAGTCGGACACTTAACCGACTGAACCACGCAGGCACCCCTGTTAATGTTTTTTAATAGAAGAGTATCCTTGATGAGAATGGCCTTTTGAAAGGCAATAATAGAAGTTACATTAAAATAGAAAGAAATTATAGATAAACCAACCACTTATGTGAATTTGGTTAGGATTCACCCCTTTTTAAATAAGATTGATTAAACTTTACTGAATTATTTTAAATTGCAGAATAACCTTTTGGAGTAAGTCCAGTAGTATAGGGGTATTCATAGAGAAAGTTACTACTCTTCTTTCAGCCCCATCCAGTTACACTTCCCTTTGTGAATGGTGTTTGTATGTATACTTCCACAATTTTATTTATATTCATAAAATTATATAAAAACATATACATATGTATAAAGAATACTTTTGGTTTTATAGTAGTCGAATTAGATCATGTATGTATTTTTTTTGCAGTTTACTTTGTTTTCACTTAATATGTTTTGGGCATACCCCTACGTCACTACAGATAGATTTGACTCCTACTTTTTTAGTAGTTGCATAATATCTGAAGATATATATATACATACACACACACACATATATATACATATATATATATATATACACACACCATAATTTCCCCAGCCTTTTCTCTATCTCTCCCTCCTCTTTTTCTTCCATGTTGTTTCTAGTTTTTTGGTTTTGAGGGGTTTTCTTGCAACCACAAGCAGCATCAAAGTATATTTACCCTTACATGTTGAGGATTTACTTTTTTAGTATAAATTCCCCCAGAGTTACATACCAAATGATACAAGTTTTTAGGCTTTTTTTATTGAAATATAACAGACATACATGCTATTTGGGAAAAAGAAAAATTCCTCATTTGTTGCTTTTGTCAAATTTAATGATATAGTTTCTTCATGGCTGATTTTAAGCCAGTGACAGTTTGACAGATAATTCACAAAATTTCGACTTAACAGTTGGCTCCCATAAACCAGTACGAGCTAGCTTTAGCACACCATTACAACATGCATATAGAAGATTGTACAGAACATTAGTGTACAGCTCAGTGAATATCAATGAAGTGAGCATACCTACCACCCTGGTCAGTAAATAGAACTGTACTCTTCCTTCTTCCTTAAAGGTAACCACTGTCATGACTTCTAGTACTTTTGAGGTACCGAGGGCCTGAAATGAAATGTGGCAATGGGAATAGAGTCACCATTTGTTCCTACTATGTAGAAAATATAAAAATCAAACAGTCATGGGAATAGTAAATCTAAATAAGAAAAGCTAAACTTTTAGGAGAAAATTGAGACTATCTTCATGAACTTTGGGGAGAATTTTCTTTAGCAAGATTAAGATTCAAAATGAGTAACAGAAAAATAATACCAGATTTGACTATTAAAATTTGCAGTCTTTGGTGTGCAGCAAATGATACCATAAATAAAATAAAAAGATAAAGCCACAGTGTGGCAGAATCTATTTGGAATACATAATAATTGATAAAATATTCAAATATAGGACACCTGGGTGGCTCAGTCATTAAGTGTCTGCCTTTAGCGCAAGTCATGGGATCGAGCCCCACGTCAGGCTTCCTGCTCAGCGGGAAGCTTGCTTCTCCCTCTTCCCCTCCCTGCTTGTGTTCCCTCTCTCGCTGTCTCTTTCTATCAAATAAATAAATAAAATCTTTAAAAAATATGTAGAAAGGGACGCCTGGGTGGCTCAGTCAGTTGAGCGGCTGCCTTTGGCCCGGGTCATGATCCCAGGCTCCTGGGATCGAGTCCCGCGTCGGGCTCCTTGCTCACCAGGGAGCCTGCTTCTCCCTCTCTCTCCCTCTGCTTGTGCTCTCTCTGTCAAATAAATAAAAAATCTTTAAAAAATAAAATAAAATAAAAAATATATAGAGAATTAAGGAGAAAAAAATCAAATCAGTAAGAAATAAAACAGCCCAATGGGCAATGTATAGAAATGAAAATCTATTAGCTGATGAATTTAACAAAAGATACTCAGTGTTATTCATTAGTAGGGAAATAACAAGCCACAATTCTGTACAAGTCACACTTGTTAGAGTAGGGAAAAAAATGAAATCATTTTAAGGTGTTCACAGATGAATACAGTCACTTTGGTGAGTAATTAGACAATAATGTTGAAGATGTTCATATACTATTCCTCAGGAATTTTACTTCTTGGTATATACCCCACAGAAATTACCAGATGTACGCAAGGACTCATTTTTAAGAATGTTTATTTTTTGTATTGGTTTTAATAGTGAATAATAAGAAACAAATGAAATAAGCCTAAACAAGACAAGTATGTTACCACAATTTATTTGGTCAGTGGATTTGAATAGTAATATATATACAGCAGTTAAAATTAATGAAGTAATACTAAATGTATTAACGTGAATCAGCCTCAAAAATGGTACTAACAGTATGACATTTAATAATTTTTTAAATATGCGAAATGAAATTATTGTTCATACTAAATACATATATAATAAAATTATACCATTTGGAAATACCAAACATCAAATTCAAGGTAAGAGAGAAAAGGTCTTTAGATTAAGGAAAAATACACAGGAGTAAGTATTAGGGCTTCTAGTTTTGACGTTAGGTGGTCCAGACCACCATTCGAGGGATAACAATTAGAAAAGTTGGCTACAATATTTTTTAAAATCTTGAAGGCATCAGAGAGCTAAAAGACAGTAAAGGATTACTAAGGTTAAGATCTTTGAAAAGGTATAAATCCAAAGAAAAGTGACACATTTAGTAAAACTTCCCTCTAACAGAGGCAACTAAAACGTCTTGAAAAACTTGTTTTTCAAAGACTTGTTGGGCTAGGGGACAGAATTTGGGAACAGTGTTTACCAAAAGAGTGGTGGAAGAGGCTCTAGTGAATCCTCCTGTATTTTAGATTGGGACCCCAAAGGACTGCATGCTTAAACGGGTGAATCAGAAG